ATAAGCTATCTTCAAGATGAAAAATAAAGAAAGCCAGTGGTTCAATTTTGTCCAAGTTTAACAGCCTGAGAATCAGGGACGTTGACAGTGTAACTCCAACTTTGAGATTAAAGGCCTAAGAAACAAGGGACTGATGGTGAAAGTCCAGATTCCAAAGGCCCACATACCAGGGGCTCTGATGTCTGACAGCAAGAGAAGATCAATGTCTCAGCTCAATAAGAAAGGGAGAGAATTCACCTTTCCCACTGTTTTTTCCCCCATTTCTATTTGGGCCCTTGAAACATGATTTTTAAAAATGCCTAAGGCTTTGTATGCTAGACCAACTTTTCCTAGAGTCTCCTGAGAAATTTTAGTTCATTTCACATGTTAAATAAGCCCTTACTCAGAGAAGAATTGGTTCTGGAAGTTTTCAGAAAGCTCCACCAAGTCAGACACTATTTTTCCTTCTGGAAAGGATCAAATAACCAGGATTACCATGTGTCCACTGAACGAAGAGCACCAGCCTGGGCATCTTAAGCGGAAAAAGAAAGGGAGGAAGCTCAGGGTGGGTGGTAAGGAGAGCTGAGTGCCACCCGGCTTATCCTGCCATGATAGGGTTGAGTGGTCCCTTCATCTCCCAGAGCCCTGGATCCCTCTTCCATGAAATGTCAGGTTCTTCAAAATTATAGTCAAGTAATCATCACATTTCACATTATCACAGTTGCCTAAAGGTTCAGATAATCTGCCCAGTGGTCTTTTCAAGTAGGAAAGAGTTGGATTCCTTGAGAAGACAATTCCCATTAGTGGATTATGAGCTAGCACAAGGGCTGCACACCACAGAACAGACTTAAGGCGTGCTCCACCATTTCCTTAGCAGCTGCAGAGTAGAGCTTCGATTTGCTGTTGCCCCGCTGTCAGGGCATGGAGCGGCGCTGCTTGGAAGGACGCTGCCCAGCGCCTTACTCATCCCGCCTCCTTTCTGGGCCTCTGCTACTTTGCCAGTTGTTTCTGAGACACAGCGCGTCCTTTGTTCCCTCTCTGCCTTTCCATATGTGAGTCCTTCCTCCTGGATTCTTTTTCCTGCCTTATCCTTTTGGGAAGCTTTTAGTCATCCTTCAAAACCCCACGCAGATGACACTGTTTTGTGAAGCCTCTTCTCCCCGCCCCCATCTCCCTCTCCAGACAGTGTCAGTCAAGCCTCCTCTGTGCTCCCCTAGCAACTGTTGCAAAACCCAACACCCTGCAGGTACTTGTTTGTTTCCATGCTGGCCCTTCCACCCAGATCTGAGAATTGCTGCAGGGGCAGGGTGGATCCTCTCCATGTCCCCAGCCCTGGCCCAGTCCCTGGAGGGTTGTGTGGACTCCACCAAGACTAGAAGAAGTGGATCCTCTTTCCTATCACCAGCAAGATGTTCTGCTAGGTGGCTAACCAGGTCACTGAAGAAATCACCGAGGAGGGAGCCCTGGCGCACCTGCCTGGCATCAGGGGCTAAATGCAGAGGATTTAATGCTATCAGTTACCATTTGTGCTCTGGAAGGCGTGCAGCATTCAAAATTTGGTGGCCGCTGTTGGGAACCTGTTGTAGTTACAGAAGGGTTCCATGTAAGGGGCAGCTTTCTGGCAATGTGATGAAGCACTGGGGTGTGTATAGAAGCGGGTGGTGGGAGCTGTGTTGAAAGTCTTTATCATCTATGACATTTGGGGAAAAACTAGAGAGAGTTGGTTAAATGGATAGATGACATCTGACTCCCAGTTTAGGTAGTTTAATTGGATGGGCCTTGCACCCAGCCCTGGGTATTGGAAACGGGGTGGGACACTGGTAGCTTCAGGCAGAGAGTCCTGATCCTCCGGGGATAGGTGTTGGGGTCAGATCATGCTGCCGCTTCTGTGCATGGCTCCTCACAGCTTTGACTCACTTGCAAACATCTGAAGGGTGGTAAATATCAGTCCAGATGTGTTGTCAGTAAATACAGTCGTCCACAGCTGCCAACACCTGCTGCTGCTTCGTGCTGGTGGTCCGTCCGCTGTGTCTCCTGGTCCCAAAGCTCTTTGCATGGACACGGGGAGAGCTGGGTTGAAGAGGACTAGAAGACAAAGGTGCAAAGGTGTAGGTGGCCTTCGAGGGGAGAGGTAAGCGCGGGCCACAGTCGGTTCCATTCTGTGCAGCCGACTCCCTGGCAGGGCATTTTTCTGAGAGTGGAATTTCTCAGTCAAAACAACCATTGAGGCTAGGGCTGTGGCTCAGTGGTAGCACACTCGCCTGGCACGTGTGAGGCCCTGGGTTCGATTCTCAGCACCGTATATAAATAAATAAAATAAAGGTCTATCAACAACTAAAAAAAAAAAAAAACTACCATGGATATGCGGTGGGTGCAGTGGTGCACACCGATAGTTCCAGTGTTTGGGAAGCTGAGGCAGGAGCATCTCTTGTGCCCAGGAGTTAGAGGCCAGCCTGGGCAATATAGGGAGGCTCTCTCAAAACAAAACAACAAACAATTGTGGATCTGAGGGAAAATGGGAGGGAAGGATGGTACGTGACTGGGAAACAAGTGACAGATGAGGCCCGTTATCACTCACAAATAAAGACGGGTAAAAGGTCAACATTATGGTTATTAGAGAATACCATGAACTTACGCATTTTTTCAAGATTAGCATAATTCCTTTGCTGTATATCTTAAAGAGCCCCCCTGTTTTACTTAAACTCTTTTATTGTGGTAAAAAAAATATATAACATAAAATTTATCATTTAAAAAATTTTTTTTTAGTTGTTAATGGACCTTTAGTTTATTTATTTATATGTGGTGCTGGGATTCAAATCCAGTGCCTCACACATGCTAGGCAAGCGCTCGACCACTGAGCCACCATGAAATTTACCATGGTCACCATTTACTTTTTCTCATATAGGTATTGAACCCAGGGGTGCTCAACCACTGAGGTACTTCCTCAGTCCTTTTATTTTAATTTTTTAATACCTTTGTTTTTATTTTATTTATTTTTATGTGGTGCTGAGGATCAAACCCAGGGCCTCACACGTGCTAGGTGAGCACTCTACTGCTGAGCCCCAGACCCAGACCCATATTTAATTTAATTTATTTATTTTTTGGTACTGGGGATTGAACCCAGGTGCACTCTATCACTGAGCTACAATCCCAGCCGCCCATCCTTTTCTGGTAGTGGGAATTGAGCCCAGAGGTTCTTTATCTCTGAGCTATCCCCAGTGTTTTTTTATTTTGAGACAGGGTCTCACTGAGTTGCTTAGGGTCTTGCTAAATTGCTGAGGCTGGCTTTGAGCTTGTGATCCTCCTGTCTCAGCCTCCTGAGCCCCTGTGATTACAGGCGTGTGCCACTGCACCTAGTTCTCTCACTACTTTTTAACTAAACTATTTTGATGAGTGTCCAGAAAAATCCCATTTTTTAAAATATCTCCATGTACAGATGAAGCAGGTACCATCATCTCTAGTTCATGGTTGGAGAAGCCAAGGGGAAGGGCATTAGATGCAACTGGCTGCCTATCTAAAAGCATCCTGCCTTCTCCCTCCTAGCTCCCATCCTTTGGTTTTGCAAAGCCCTAGTTTATTATCGTTCTGGTATTCACTGGCGAGTGAGGCACACAGGGATGAGTCGACTCTTAGCCCCAGGAGTAAGTCTTTCTTAGTTTGAGTCAGCCACAGTAACTTTGGCTCCTTTGCCAGTGACTGAGTTAGTGGATTAGCATGTGATACACTTTTGCTCATGAGACATGAAAGAAAGCTGATGCAAGGATATGGAGAGGAGTTTCTTGCTTTTACAAACAAACACAAGAACACTGGGCATGGTGGCACACGCCCATAATCCCAACGACTCAGGAAGTTGAGATGGGAGGAACACAAGTTCAAGGACAGGTTTAGCAATTTAGTAAGACCCTGTCCCAAAATTAAAAAAAAAAATAAAAAGGGTTGAGGATGTAGCTCAGTGGTAAACTGCCTCTGGGTTCAATCCCCAGGACTAGAAAAACAACAACAAAAAGGAGGGCTGGGGTTGTGGCACAATGGTAGAGAGCTGGCCTAGCGTGTGCCAAGCGCTGGGTTGGATCCTCAGCACCACATAAAAATAAATAAAATAAAGGTCCATCAACAACTTAAAAAAAAAGGAGCTTCTGTTGAGGGCCACAGCCGAGTCCGGATGACGCATGGCATTTTTGCCAGAAGTAGAGGTTGAGAGGTGACGCCAGCAAGCCATTAAGATGATGACTTTTAAGTTCTCGCGGAGTTCCCGTTGAGTTCCGGTTGAGCTCTCACGGGGATTCCTGAAGAGTTTGAATTGATTGGGGAAATGCCGGAGGAGGGATTTCTGGTTGGTGGTTCCTGGAGGAGCCTCGTGGTATTCGGGAGAGTTCCCAGGGAGTGTGTGTGGAGTGTGCTGGTGGAGTTCAGAAATAAAGTTTGTTCCTGCTTCAGTGGCTCGTGATTTGTGCCCAGCCGGACTGTGGCAAGCTTCAATAAGAAACTTCCTTTTTCCTGCTTCTCAATATTGTAGCCATGTGTGTTGGTGATGCCTGGAACTCAGCAGCCATTTTGCCACCATGAGAGGCATTAGTGAAACGGTCCTGATGATACAGTGAAGGTGGCAGACATGGGAGATGGGAGGAATGAATCCTTTACATGGATGAACTGTTGAGTTAACTGATCTGGAATTTACCACCTTTAGTCCTGCTACTTATTTGAGACCATACATTTCCTTTTAAAATCATTTTTGAGGGCTGGGATGTAGCTCAGTAGCAAAAGCATCTGCCTTGATTCACAAAGCCCTGGGCTCTACCCCCGTTCCAAAAAAGACAAAAACAAAAAACACCCCCCCCCCAAAAAAAAAAATAGATAAATAAATGAATAAGATCTTAAAAAAACCCATTTTTAAATTTTCTGTATTTGCAATCCAAAGCATCCTAATGACATGTTAAGGATTAAAGCTAGATAGGAGCCAATGTGGATGACACAACATTTCATACCCTTTTCCACTGGATGATGCTGACAACTCAGAAACCCTGTTTTTTTTTTTTTTTTTTTTTTTGGTCATGCGATCTCTTGATGTATTGTGTTATTTCTCAACTGTTGGCTCTGGAAGGTAATTTCCAGGGAATAAAGGGCCCTTGAAAAGTTGAGTTTGATTGTGAGGGGGGCAAATGGGGAGTTACTGGGAAGCTAGCAGAGTGACAACTGCCTACAAGGATGGTGAAAAGTGACTACTTAGGAATGTCGACTCTTTGAAACATGGTAGTCAGGTGTGGCGAGAGGGAATGGTAGAGAAAAGCAGGCCAGGGTGGCTGTCAGGTCCAGGAACTTTTCCCTCTGAAGGGAAATCCAAAAATCTCAGAGTCATGGTGTGTGGCCACGTAGAAGATAGTGCATGATATGATCATCAGGTAAGACTCGGAAACAGTACAGCTAACAGAAGGGTGGTAGAGAACTAGCCTAATTATGGTCGCACCCCAAGCTGACAGAGAGGCTTACTGAAGTTAAACCTGTGGTAGACTGTTCTAGCTCGTTTCTATTATATTCTATTTTTTTTTTTTTTGTAACCGTGGATTGAACCTAGGGGTGCTTACCACTGAGTTACATTCTCAGCCCTTTTTAGTTTGAGTCAGGGTTTTGCTAAGTTGCTTAGAACCTCAGTAAATGTCTCGACTGGTCTTGAACTTGTGATCCTCCTGCCTCAGCTTCCTGAGCTGCTGGGATTACAGGTGTGCACTTCATTGCACTAGCTGTTCTTTACAGTCTGCCCAATAAGCTTTCTTCGTAGGTATGTGACCTGAGCATGTGATCCAGGTGTGGATAATCAGAGCTGTTCAGGTACCGTTAATTGATCCAAGTGGAGGGCCTTAATTGATCAAGTAAGGGCCATTCAAAGTCCTTCTCTGGGAAACTATACATATGCTGAGAAACATAAGGGGGGTGGTGGCTCTTTTTCCTATAAGAGAAACAGAGATGAGTAAAACTGAGAGGCAGATGAAAAGAGAGAAGTCTCCCTGAGCTCCCTGTGTCCAACCCCAAGGCCTGGTTCTTGCAGCACTTGCTATGAATTACCCCAGTGTGGACGATTCTATTTCCCAAAAGTGGAAAATATACATCTCATCTCATGATATATCTCATTTCACATGCTGTAATGCTCCTTCCACTGGAGGATGGTGTTAAGTCCTCTGCCCTGGCACCTAGGCCACGTTCTGTGACCACTTGGGCCAAAACCATATGCTATATGACTTCTGAGGTCAGGTTATAAAGATGCCACATGCACTACTGGTTTCTTCCTTGGGTCCTCGCCATGCGCTTGAAGCTGAGTAGCCATGTGGAGAAGCCATGGGTGGGGGCAGACCACAGGCCGAGAAGAGGTTCCAGCCAGCAGCCAGCCTCAGCCACCATATGTGTTTCCAAATGAAATCAGACTCCAGTCGCCAGGTCACCCTGAGGCTCTGAGTTCTTCAGAGAGGCTCACAGAGCAGAGACAACCATCCCCACTGAGTCCTATCTGAACTTCTGACCCAGAGGCTGTAAACATAAAATGATGGTTTTGCCGTTAGGTTTTGGGGTGGTTTGTGTCCTCCTTAGCTCTGTGAACATGTACATACTCTTTTTCGCTTAAGTTAGTTTGAATTGAGGATTTAGTTGATTTCTATCGTTTGCAACTAATCTATTCTTGACTAGTAAACCTTCTCGTCTCTAGGTTTTCCTGTGAGAGTCAGTTACTCCATTTACCAAAAATATAATTTATCATGTGGTCTTCGTGGAGCAAGTATAGACAAGTAGTGAAGAAAGAGGAGGGAATGAGGGCAGGGTCCTTTGTTCTCCTCGCCCGGTGACGCCACAGGTAATGGAATGCTTCCTTGCCTCTTTTAAGTCATCTGTCTTCTCAGGGCTGAATTCTGACCACTGTTCTGCTCTGTGACCTTTGACAAGCTGCTATGCTTTGCTGGGTCTTTTTTGGTTGGTCGATCGGGGAAGCTATTTCTTCACTAGGGAAAAAAAAAAGAGGGAATGAGGTTAGAGGTGACATTAGTGTTATTATTATTTTTCAGTGTTGGGTGCCAGGGGTGCTCTGTGACTAAGGTACATCCTCAGCCCTTTTTATTTACTTGGTACTAGGGATTTAATTCAGGGGCTCTTGACCACTGAGCCACATCCCCAGCCCTATTTTTTGTATTTTATTTAGAGACAGGGTCTCACTGAGTTGCTTAGTGCCTCGCAGTTGCTGAGGCTGGCTTTGAACTCACAATCCTCCAGTTTCAGCCTCTGAGTCGCTGGGATTGATGCTGGGATTACAGACAGACAGGATCTCGCTGAGTTGCTGAGGCTGGCTTCAAACTTGGGATCCTCTTGCCGCATCCTCCTGAGTCACTGGGATTACAGGTGTACCACATGCCTGACTTACAGTGTTGTTAATGATACTTATGTCCTAAGCATGCTGTTCCGTGTTCTCCACATTAGTCGTGTGAGTCCCCCCCAAGGTCCTATGCAGCAGGGGTCAGCCACTTTTGAATCTTTTCCTGGACTAACATTCTTTGTTTTTGGTATCAGCAATTGAACCTAGGGACACTTAATCACTGAACCACATTCCCAGCTCTTTTTAAATATTTTCTTTAGAGACACGGTCTCACTGAATTTCTTAGGGCCTAAGTTGATGAGGTTGGCTTTGAACCCACAATTGTCCTGCCTCAGTTTCCCAAGCTGCTAGGATTACAGGTGTGTGTCACAGCACCAGCTCCTGGACTAACATCCCATAAACATCTCTCATTCTCATATACTATGGGGGCATGACAAATCATATGTAACCAGTTCCTTGTTTTCAGGAAGCTTATGTTCAGATTGGAAAGGTAAAGCAAATCTAGGCATTATATTCTGGTCTAACTTGAATAGTGCTGACCATAAATGCAATGGGAGGTATATTATTTATCCATTGCTGTGTAACAACCTGCAACAATTGTTATTCAATAACACAAAACAAGATGCAGGAGCTGTGGTTGTGGCTCAGTGGTAGAGCACTTGCCTCAAATGTGTGAGGCACTGGGTTTGATTCTCAGCACCACATATAAATAAAAAATAAAGGTCCTTCAACAACTAAAATGAATAAAATAAATAAAAATTTAAAAACTCCAAACAAACAAAACCAAGCTGCATCCCTCGTCTCGTGGTTTCAGTCGGTGTCAGGAATCTGGACTCTGTTGGATCCTCTGCTCAGGTCACACTGCAATCAAAGTGGTGGCTGGGCTGTTTCTTTTTGGAGCTCAAGATCCTATTCCAAGTTCATGTGGTTGTTGGCAGAATTTCCTCAGAGTACAGGACTGAAGGCCCCATTTTCTTGCTGTCCCTCAGCTTCTGGAGGTCTCTGCTGTTCCCCACAGTGTGGTGTCCCCAAGGCACTTCTCAGGAGGGCAGCTACTTTCTCAAGGCCTGCAGGAGAACCTCCTCACTTAGCCTGCTAGGGAGGAATGTTAAATACCGTAACATAATCATGGGAGGGTCACATCATCACCTTTGCCATATTTTATTGCCTAGAAGAGGTCACAGGTCCCATTTACCCTCAAGGGGAGGGAATTACACAAGAGCTCAAAGGGGGTCACATGAAGGTGTATCTTCCTCAGGAATTTAGAAGAGAGATGTCAGAGTGAACGGGAGTCCTCATGGAAGGCTTAATGGAGGGACTTCTGTAGGGCTTGAAAAATGAGTAGAATTCACACCAGTGAAGAGAGAGAGAAAAGATAGAATATCTAGGATGCAAGGATCATGTGAGCAAAAGTTCAGAGGTGGAATTCTCACCTAAGAATTCCCACACAAAAGGGAACAGAAACCTGCTAATTCTGCAGGTCACAAAGGGCAGGTGGAACCTTTTCATAATTAACCAAAAGGAAGCTAGATAGTGAAGAGTGCCCCGACCTTGGTGTCAGAACATCTGAGTTCAAAGTTCAGTTACCCTGTTAACTAGCAATGTGACTGGGTCTGATGGTTATCTGAGCCTAGTTTCATGTGAATACTTCTGTTTGTTAATGCATGGTGAAACAAGCCCTTGCTTGGAAAGTGCTCTGCATATGGTCCAGGTCCTGGATGTCAATGAAGCTGACATCCAGGACCTCATTCTCTCTGGGTCCCCCAGCTCTCTGGTTTTTCTTAGTCTTTCACTCTATCTCCTTCCTCTTAGGGGGAGGAGGTTGGTGGAGATTCCCTGGAACCTGGCCATGACACTCCTCTCATCTTTTTTTTTTTAAATTATTTTATTTTATTTTTAGTTATCAGCGGACACAACATCTTTATTTGTATGTGGTGGTGAGGATCGAACCCGAGCCACACGCATGCCAGGCGAGCACGCTACCACTTGAGCCACATCCCCAGCCCCATCCTCTCATCTTACTACAATGCCTATCTTGGTACTCTCATCTGCCACCACCCAGAGTCAAAGACTCCCAAATCTGTGCATGACCCATACTCCTTTCCCTAGCTCCAGACTCATGCATCCACAGTTACTGGATGATTCCTCTTGAATCTCCACAGAGCCTTTAAATCCACCAGGCCCGAAACTAAACTCATTATCTTCTTCCACTCAACCTCTTCTTTTTCATACATTGTCTTGGGGAATCAATCATACACCCTTCCTTCCCCGCCACACTTGCAACTGAGATCCTAATAGTCACCAAGTCCCTTCTCTCCCAGGTGTCTCCTTCCTTGTATTTCCACTGCCCTAATTGGAATCCTATTAATTTTCACCTGAATCACTACAATTGTAGGGTTTCCCCCCCCAGTACTGGGGATCGAACCTTGTTGCTTAACCACTGAGCCACATCCTCCAGCCTTTTTTTTTTTTTTTTTTTTTTAAGAGACAGGGTCTCATTGAGTTGCTTTAGGGCCTCACTAAGTTGCTGAGGCTGGCTTTGAACTTGTGATCCTCCTGCCTCAGCCTCCTGAGCCATGGGATTACAGGCTTGCAATCTACCTAGCTTGCAATTGCTTCTTCTTCTTCTTCTTTTTTTTTTGGTGACCCTTGGGGATTGGACCCAGAGCCCTGCACATGCTAAGCAAGTGCTCTACCACTGAGCTATATCCCCAGCCCTTGCAATTGCTTCTTAACTGATCTATCTCAATTCATTCTCCTCATATCCTGAAGTGAACTTTCTGAAGCACAAATCTGATGATACTTCTGCTTTGCTGAAAAAACATTCTGAGGGGATTGAACTCAGGGGTGCTCAACCACTGAGCCACACCCCGAGCCCTTTTTTGTATTTTATTTAGAGACAGGTCTCACTGAGTTGCTTAGTGCCTCGCTAAATTGCTGAGGCTGGTTTGAACTCATGATCCTCCTGCCTCAGCCTCCCGAGCTGCTGGGATTACAGGCGTGAGTCACTGTGCCTGGCTCAGAGGCCCTGAATTCTTAGGCATGAAATTCAAACTCCTGGGCATGGAATTCAGTGTCTGAAGCCTTCTCAGATCTAACTCTTGCGTACCTCCCTAGCGTACTTCCTGCTCTGTTGCCTCTGCTCTTATCCTACTGGACTGAATGTTCTTACACTGCACTATTATTCTTTTTTTTTTTTTATTGGTTGCTTAAAACATTACAATGATCTTGACATATCATATATCATACATTTGATTCAAATGAGGTATGAATTATTATTTTTACCACGTGTACAGATTGCAGGATCACATTGGATATACAGCCACATTTATACATACTGCCATACTAGTGTCTGTTGTATTCTGCTGCTTTTCCTATCCCTTACTATTATTCTTTTAAATCTCTTGAACATGCTGTTCCCCTTTCCAAAATGCCCTTCCACCACCCTTCTTCTCTCTTGCTATCTCTTCTCCTCTCTAATCACTCAGCTAAGCTCTCCCATTTTATGAAACATCTTCCTTAACTCCTTAACCTCTGGATGCTTGAGAGTCCCTGCTTATGTGCCCTTTTAGCAGCTTGTGCATGCCTCTGTATTGTAATCATTTTGTATTTTGCTGCTTCTTCTGCTAGATTGTTAGTTCTCAAAAATAATTATGGTGTCTTATTCTCTATTTTTGATGATCTGATCACCCTTTCTGCCAATCTGATTCTTACTTAATATTTTACTTATTTTCTGGATGGGCAACATAGTCATATGACTAAAAATGCAGAAGTTAGAGAACTGTTACAGAAAGGAATTGTGTTAATCAGCTTTTCATTGCTGTGACAAAATACCTGAGAAAAACAATTTAAAGGAGGAAAGATTTATTTTGGCCCACAGTTTCAGGTTACTGTCAGCAGACTCTACTGTTTCTGAGCCTGGGATGAGGCAGAGCATTGTGGTGGAAGGGAGTGACAGAGCAAAGCTGTTAACCTCATGGCAGCTAGAAAGCACAGGGAGGCAGCGAGGAGAGAAAGAGAAGGGGTTGTAGAAAAGATACAGTACTCCAGGGATCCATGCCCTTCAACTAGGCCCCGCCTCCTACAGCTTCCACCACCATCCAAAAGTCCATTCAGCTATGAATTCATCAATGGATTAGTCCATTGGTAAGGTTAAAGCTTTCATGATCCAACCACTTCCTGCCAGGGCTGCCCTGCAGACGAGCTAGGCACACCCCCTCAACCTTGAGTAGTGGGGGTACTGAACTGGCATTGCAAGCTGTGAGAAGCAAGTGGGTCTTACCTTTGTTGGGCAAGGAAGTGCCTTAGCTTTGGGCTTGGGCATTCCCCCCACCACCCCCATTTTCTGTAATTGTATCCCTTTCCTTATTTGAGTGGAATATTCTAAGGAGTGTCTTTTTCCTAATAAATAGAGGGTTTCTGGTGTGTTCTCTCTTGCTCCTCGTGACCTTTTCCAGTGCTGTCCAGCGTGGGAGCTTGACCCTCGAGGTCGAAGAGCCATCCCTGATTCCTGCAAAATGTACTTCTGTGTTTGTGTGGTCTTTTCATTGCGGAGTGACCCTGATCCCATCACTAGCGCAGGATGTGAGCAGTGATTTCCTAAAAGCCCTACCTCTAAATACTGATGCAGTGGAATCAAGACTTCAATACATGAGTTTTGGGGGTACATTCCAGATCCAAACCAAAACAGGAATAAAGTGAAAAGTCTCCTTTCTACCTTTGTCTTCACCCTAGCTGTCTAGTCTCCCTCCCCAGCAGCATAATGTTATCAGTTTCTTGTGATATTTCTAAATATATACATATATACATGCTTCCTCTTTCACACAGGATGGTATTATGTGCTCTAGTCTGAGCTGCACCTTGTTCTACCTTAACCATATACAGTCTCCATGAGATCTTTCCACATCAGTGCATAAACAGTTTCCTTACTCTTTATTTACAATGATTCAGTTTTCCATTGTGGATGTATCATTTAACCAGTAACTGTTAGATTGAATTCACAAACCATTGGAAACTAACAGTACTGCAACAACTTCCCTTCACACACACACACACACACACACAAAGTCATTTTACACCTGTGAAAGTGTAATACTAGCATGAACTCCTGGAAGTGGAACTGCCAGATCAAGGCATATGTGTTTTGTTAGTTTGACCACGTACTAGTGCCTTTCATGGAGTTTGTAGATATCATCTTACTTATCTCTGCATCCCTAAGCCACTGTTTTTTAAAAAATATTTCTAGCTGTAGATGGACACAACACCTGTATTTTATTTATTTTTATGTGGTGCTGAGGATTGAACCCAGTGTCTCACACGAGCGTGTCAAGTGCTCTACCACTGAGCCACAACCCCAGCCCAGTACTGTAATCTTCATGCTTCATCTTCCTAGGTATGCCAAAAATGCAAGGTCCTGACTGTTCTTCACTGGGGTTATATTTCAGGGTTGCGGGGATGTATTTGTATGAGCAACCATGAGGGATAAAGTAATATCTCCCTCTAGGTCAAAGAACAGGTTGGCTTACTGCTTCCTATAGAATGGCAGCTTCCTCAAGTTCAGTGTTTCTTAGCTGTGTTGTGAATCCACTAAGGGCACAGTATTCATTTGGGCCCTTTGTTTCAAGCATGTGTTACTCAGGAGGTGGGAAGGGCAAAAGGAACTGACACAAACATGCTGAAGCTCCTTGCTTCTTGGGTCTTGAGTAATAGACGGTCTTGTGTCTCTGACCCAGAAATCTTGTGTCTTCCACAACACCTATGAAACAGTAAACAGACTTACCTTATCAGTAGGATGAAATCAATTGTCAGACTGGAGTAATAATGGCTTAAATAAGCTTATTTTCACCATTTTTTACTCTCACTCTTTTTACTTCTCTTCACCAGGCACTTTGCACAACATCTGTAAGTTTGTCTTTTGGTAGGCAGCCAAAGCCACCAATTGCCACCATTTGTAAAGAATTCTATTGTTCTGCTGGGGAAAACACAATGAATTTAAAATAAAGGTAACTTCAAAACCATTGCACAATTGAAGTCATTACTGGACCGCTCTAACACCCAGTTAGAGCTGTTTCCTTCCACGTTTTTGGTTTAGTTGGTGCAGCTCTTACACTGTTCGGACAGTTGTGCAAACACAGCTAGGCCTTGCTTCCGGTTACTCAACATCCGGTTTCCTTGGACACTGAGCTTCAGTTTCCTCATGAGTGAAACAGGGAAACGAATTCAGATCCAGCTGTCTCACAAGGTGGTTCTGGGTCGTGGAATAAAACGAACACGAGTTACCAAGCAAGTTAGGTTCGTGTTGAATCACAAACATCACCTACTACGAACCCCGTTGGGTTTCTTTCTTTCTCTCTTCCTTTTGTCCCTTCTCCCGTCGCCCCCACGGGGCTGGGGATCCACTCCAGTCCTCGTGCAGGCCACGCACAAACTCCACGTCTCTCCTCTGGGCTCCGACCTTAGCCAATTAATGTTTTTGGAGGCTATGAAATGAAAGGACGAAACAAAAACAGAACCTTGCCCTAAGCCAGCGGACCAAAACCTGGCCAGGCTCGGCGTTAGGCTGGAGGCTCACTAGGCAGCACGTGGATCTCCTCACAGACCCCAGGGGAGAAACCACAACTCCCAGCAGGCCTTGCTCCCGAGCGTGCGCCCTAGAGCTCCGCCCAGGCCGGGCCCAGCCTCGCCCCGCCCCCGCGGCCGGAAACTACATTTCCCGTGAGGCCTCGCGGTGCACAACCTTCCGCTTTCCCCCGCCCCCTGCTCCCCTTCACCCCGCCGGCAGCTCCGTGGCCGTCTCGGTCCCGCGGCCGGTGGTTCGGGCGCGCGCGCCGAGGGTCGCGCGGCTGCTGAGGAGGGCGAGCGCGCGCTGGGAGGGAGTGGAGGCGTAGGGGGGCGGGGGTACGGCTCGATTGCTCGCAAGATGGCGGACGAGGACGGGGAAGGGATTCACCCCTCAGCCCCTCACAGGAACGGCGGCGGCGGCGGCGGCGGCGGCGGCGGGTCCGGGCTCCACTGCGCCGGGAACGGCAGCGGGGGAGGCGGCGGCCCGCGGGTCGTGCGCATCGTCAAGTCCGAGTCCGGCTACGGCTTCAACGTGCGGGGCCAAGTGAGCGAGGGCGGGCAGCTGCGGAGCATCAACGGGGAGCTGTACGCGCCGCTGCAGCATGTGAGCGCCGTGCTGCCCGGGGGGGCTGCCGACCGGGCCGGGGTGCGAAAGGGGGACCGCATCCTGGAGGTGTGAGTATCCGGGCCCCGCGCCGTCCCCGCGTCTCCTCCTCCCTGTCACCCTCGGGCCGCTCCTCTCCCAACCCTGCCCGGGTCTCGGGACCCCCGCCTCCCCCGGCCTACGCTGCCCGATCCCTCCGTGTGAGTCGACCCACCTCTCCCGGTTCTGCGACTCCCACACTCCTGTCTGTCGCCTCCAGTTCACGTCCTTGCGCCCCCAGTGCTCCTACCCCTGCCCCCATGCCTTGGCCGCTTTCCGTCCCTTTGGCATGCCGTCTTTGCTCCCCACTGCGCCTGGTCTGCTTCCTAACGAACGTCTTCTGCTCCTTACTAACGGCATCCCCTTTTCTGACCCAGCCAGGATCGTGTCTTCCTCAAGTTCTTGTCTTTAGCATCATAGTTTCCTGTTCCCCGCCACTCCCCTCAGTCCCTGTGGACTGTCCCTTCTGCCCTCTAGACCAAGTAAGCAGGACCTCTCGGTCTGCTCCCACTTCACCTCCGGAAACATCTCTTACTCCACTCCTTTTTCTTTCCCCGTCACCCTTTCCCTTACGGTTAAGCACCCCCAGTGTTTCCCATTTACCTCTTGTCCTTTCTTCCCCTCCTTTTTGTATTCATGACCCCAACAGTACACCTTCTTTTCTGACCCTTGCATGCTTTTTGGTGGGGGTGAACTGGGGGTTCCGTAGTTCTGGTATTATACCCTGACTGCATCTGAGTGCATCCCTGTACTGACCTCCTATCTTCACTGCTGCCCTAGACTCACACTTCTTTTGAGTACGGTTTATGGTGGAGCTGTCTAGCTTCTACTTTCCCCAAACTACAACCCCTTTTTGGGTCCTTGACTTCTGCACGTTTTTAGTGCATGCCCAGTTCCATTTTCTCTTCTATTCCATGCTCTTGGGATCCCATACTTGACTTTATCCCATTTCTCTCCTATAGGTTGTACTCCCTTTCTTCTCTTTTTAAGGCCCTTTCTGCTGCTGCAACCCACCCTCTTCCCCTGCTGCAGTCCCTCCCCCATCATTCATCCTTAGTTCCCCACTGCATCCCTTAAAGCTCAGAGATTGCTGTCTTGTCTTGCAGTTTCTATGCAGACTTCCTCCACTGCCCTAATCTAGGTGTTACATTCATATTTTTGTACTTGGTATTAAAATTCATATCGTGGTTGCTGATTGACTTGGAGAGGTTTATGTTCTCATTGTCTCCGTTCTCTCTAGCAATCTTCAATTCTGTACTTCTCTTCTTACTGCCTCTATATTATATATTCTTTTTTTTACTTTTATTGTCTTGCTTCATGCTGACAAGTCTCTCATTTTTTAAAAAACATTTTAATTGTAATTTCCACAACTATCTGTCTTTGCTCTTTTAAAATAGCAGGTTTACCCAAGGTTTGTAAAGAGATGGTATCTTGAAGAGTCTGGTCTTTTTTTTTTTTTTTCTTGGTGGACACAGTATCTTTATTTCATTTTTATGTGGTGCTGAGGATTGAACCCAGTGCCTCACATGTGCTAGGCAAGCTCTGTACCGCTGAGCTACAATGCCAGCCAGCCAGAGTCTGGTCTTATATAGGAGTCCCTTCTTATTCATCTTGTGCCTCTGCTCTTACCCTTGATGGTCTTAATCTAGAGTATCTACTCATTTTTTCTTCCTCATCTCTTTTACCTCAAAAAGAATAGGTCACCAAAATATGTCTTTGAAGACATTATACCTTTCTTGTTCTTTCTATAAATAGATGCTTTCTTTTCTCATTAGTGTCCTACATACTATTTTCTAGTAATCTGCAAATATATTCTTAGTCTTTTGGAGGGGCAGGACATTCATATATAGAATATAATAATGACCTTTGATTTCTAAGATAACTGAAAATCTGTAGTTAATGTTTTCTTCTGATAGAAGCTCTTGGAATTGTCATTTTCCTTTCCCTTTGGATCCAGCTGTTTATTTTTAGACAGTGTATTTAAAATTATAGATCTATTATAAAGTTTTTTTTTTTTTTTTTTTTTGGTATCAGGGATTGAACCAAGGGGCACTCAACCACAGAGCCATGTTCCAGCCCTATTTTGTAGTTTATTTAGAGGCAGGGTCTCACTGAGTTGTTTAGCACCTTGCTTTTGCTGAGGCTGGCTTTGAACTCGCAATCCTCCTGCCTCAGCCACAGGGATTATAGGTGTGTGCCACTGCCCCCAGCAAGATCTATTATAAAGTTTTAAATTATTTACTCTTTATAGGATCTAAAGGAACCAAACTTAAATAAAATTCTGTAGGTGATTACAGCTAAGGTGATCTGCCATATATATATATATATATATATATATATATATATATATATTATAAACACGCCCCCCCCCCCACACACACACAAACGAAGTTGGTGGCTTCTTTCCTTTATTATACTTTCTGCAGTAAAGCTCAGGTATAAATTAGGTGCTGTAAGGGAGACCCCAGATGATCCTGTAGGACAGGTAGATGGACTTGCCTCAGCTCTAGGTTCCAAGCTAGGAACCTAGGAAGTCTTTTCCTTCTAGAGAAAAGACATTGCTTTTTAGCACATCCCTAGTAATGAGTGGAGAACTTTGTCTCCTTTAAAGGGCAGGGGGATAGGACAATCTTCTCTGGAAGGTTGTGATGATCAGAAATCTTCCTGGAATTGGTTTCTCACCCTTCCCACTATATTTTGATATCCAAATTATTTGGAACTTCTCTGATACTGTAGTGGGAGGTAGTGATAGTTGTAACACAAAACTAACCAAAGGGTTAAATCTCTGAAACCTCATCTATATGGTTTCTTGTTTGTTTGTTCTTTCCTTTTTTGTCCGCATCTTTTCCTTAGGTTTTCATGTGAGAGGAGGAAATAAACCACCAAAAAGACATTGTTCTTTCTGTACCTGCAGCTTGTTTTGATCGGATTTGATTGATGCTGAGTTTCCATAAGCATTCTTTAGACAACACTCTTTAGAACTTTCATTTGCCTCTTCTTTAAGTCAGCCTCTCTGTTGTCCCAGGAATATTTTCCATGTTGATGAAGTGCCAGGTGGGGTCTGAGTTAGGGATAGGTAGATTATCATTCTGTAGATTATTGTGTGTCAGGTTGTAGGTGGACTTTGCTGTTTAAGACTTGCCTATTTTAAACCTTTTCCCTCTATGTACAAATTTGTTTTATTCCAATTTCCATATATTACACTTACAGAGGCATGAAAGAATAGTGACTGAGATTTAAGGGGATATAAGTTTGGATACAAGTAAGAGGCTGAGTCTCTGTGATCCTTTTAGAATCTGCTTATCAAGGTTCTGTCTTCACTGAATCTTGGAACTATCATTAAACTATTATTGGAGTCAGTCTGGTTTAGTCCTTTTTCCTATCAAAACTGGTTCCAGAGAGATTCATGTTGCAGGACTTGGTAGTGCAGTATGAAGAAGCCCTCTGGGCTCTGAATTTTACTACAGATGGAAAGTTTTCTTGACTAGCAACATTAGTCTCCACCTTGTAATTTTTCCAGGTGTAACATACACTGAGTGTTTTCCCTTTGATGTGTGTGTACCTGGAGGCTAATGTGTGAAGGATGCTTTCAATAAATGGACCCCAAATAAATGTCTTTGTGCTAATTACATAGTATGTGAAGTAATTGACTTCAGGTTAATTTTCTTAAGGTTAAAGTAATTCCAAGGGCTTTTGATTTCTTGAGGAATGCCTTTATGAAGCTTTTAGTGTGCTGTGAATTTGGATTTGGGATTGCCTAGATTTTTGAGGGATTAGATTTGTCTCTTGGCTGTTTCTTTTGTCTCTTTGGTATTTGGATAGTGTGATCTTTAATCATGGACCCCTATGGTTGGTTTGCTAGCATTCAAAATCCCATGATATACTTACACTAATCAGAGAATAAACGTTTTCCTACTCGATAGCTTTCAGATAATACACCCATCAGATTTCCCTTGTTAAAATTAAACCATAAGCTAAATTAGGGTACCTATATAAATTTTCTTATTGAGAGTCAACTTTTTTGCTTTGTTTTGTGTGAAAATTTGAACATCATTGAATAAAAAGATACGACATTGGTGCCACAAGAAGTATTTTTACAAGTTGTGTGATTCATGTAACATTGACTGCTAAGTAACTTCTCAAGAGCTGCTTTCTTAATTGTAACTGAATTTTATTTGGCTCACATTTTCCAGGTAGATTTTGGTAATAGTGTTTGAAATGCTTTATTGATCAGAGGAAAATTTTATGGCAGTAGTTCTCGTTTTTGTGCATGTAGGAATCACTTGGGTGTTCTTGTTGAAAGCATAGATTCTCAGGCTTACCTTTTAAGAATTGTGATTAAATAGGTCTTGCATGAGACCTAGAAATCTGTATTTTTTACTCCTTTGCCAGATTAGGGAATGCAACCCACATACAGAGCCACATGCCCAGAGCAACACTAGCGGTACCATCATTCTCAGTTCATTTTATCACTATGGTTATGTTGAGAGTCATGAGGAAAGAATATGCTAACAAATTTTTTTTTTTTTAGGCTTTTGAATTCCAGCCTAAGTAGAAAATCAGAAAAGTACTAACTATTCTACCTGATTATGTATACTTTACTTATTGGATCTTGCTAAGCTCTTGCAATAAAGGTGGGTTGTTAAGAGGTAGAACAAACAATCATAATCATTATTCTGCTCTGCAGTGTGTACAGTGTGTTAACTGTTTGCATTGTTTTTGCATTTGAACTTCACAACAGCCCTGGGAGGGAAATTATAAACTCCTTTGAGGGCAGGTATTTTATCAAACATTCTGTATTTATTGACCCTCTAGCCAAATGTCTGGTGGCATATAGAAGGTATTTCCCAATAAATACTTGCTGACTGAATATGAGTAAAATTACCCCACTTTGTAGGAGGAAAACTGAGTTTTTCACTAATGAGTAGCAATCAGAATTAAAGGCAGGTCTTTGCATTCTAAATATTTTCCATTTCTTTGATTTTTCAGCTATTGACTATTAATAGTCAACTATTCTTGATTGTTATTACTTAATTTATAATTGTTAAAATTCAGTTACATTCTTATAAACTTGGATAGCAATTGAACTTTGGTTCTACCATAGTGAAATGTAATAATCTTATATATTTATTTACCCTTTATCTCCTGTTGTTATTGGATAAGAGATGGGGGACCAAAGCAATCTTCTTTGTCCTTATTTGTTGGTATCTTTACTGATTGTCAGTGAAGAGAGCATGACAATCATAATTGTAACTTCAAAAATACTTCTAATTTCATGTGTAGTTAAAGTTGCAAACAAATAATACTGATTTGAAAACAGCATTACACTTTCCTCAGAAATCACTTCCACAGATTGCAGTAACCAGGAAAAGATCTTTCTTTACTAGCATAAAGATTTGTCTGGGTCTTATAAATTGTTGTGAACA